GGATGGTTGCTCTCGCGGTAAACATATTGCAGTGAAGTATTCGGCCTTGTAAATGGTTGTTAGGTGCTTCGGTTAAGGTTAAATGTGACGTCTAGGAAGTCGATTATTTGTTTGTTAGCTTCTATGGTGATGCGTAGTCCGTTGTTATTATTACTATTATATATATATATATATATATAACTTCTGGTAAGTTTCACGCTGATAAATCCAGAATAGTGCTCAACAGTAATGGAGCGGTAATAACAATGTTTTGCTACTCAATAAAGTTACATATGGACTTTAATACAGGTCTGTTTCGTAGACCGACAAGAAGTTGGTCCACTCATCAGTTAAATTCCATATACACTGCAGCATCGCTTGAGTTTATATACATCGGCAGCATGATCGTTACAAACTTTAAACTATGATTGATTCTTAAGGATGCGGTTGAATCTAAGGAGTAAATTTGGCTTATGCCTGCAAGTTGATACGAGTTAATTACGTTTGTTGAACGTTATATAAGTACAAATTAATGATAATAATGACAATAATAATAAACACATAAGAAAATATTATTTAAAAATTCTCAATCTTAAGTTTAAGTGTGTCAAGCAGAAAAAAATAATCTACATGAGGGTAACATCCTTTAATATCCAACTGTGCTTCGCAGCGTACAAATAACACGCGAAACGAGTACAAATATCACGCGATATTTGTACTCCCGAAATATCCGCGAAATTCGCCCGCACTGCAATAACAATTTGGTGTGTTGGATAATAAATCTCTTATTAGACGTTTTGTTGAGTCGTTTCGCTGAGTATTTTTACTTGTTATTTGTAATTTGACGAGCCCGTAAGGCTCGTCAAAATACGACACAACTCATAGAAATACTAAGCGATACTATACAACAAAACGTCTAATAAGATATATGAATTTTGGTTTTAAAGTCTGAAAAGAAACTTGTACGAAAAAAGTCCGGTAGTGCATTCCACTGCTCAGCTGAAAAGTAAGAAAAGGAGTTAAGTGCATAGGTAGTTGTTTTAGGTTTACGAAGTGAAAGAATGTAGTTGCCACGAAGGTTATAGAAAGAGGACCGGAGTGAAAAACATATTCTTCATATAAGCGGGAAAATGAGTGAAAAACAAGCTCTTACATAACAGTGTGAGGAAAGTCTGAACGCGCTTGTAACACAACGAAGTAGAGTTGACTTTTGAAAGAAGAGTAGTGTATAGCCTTCGAAGCAAGCCCTGGGGGAAAGGAGGGGGGAGTGGGGGGAGAGGGAGGCACATTCCGCACATTCCGCTCGCCCCAATCCCCCCTCCTCTCCCCCAGGACTTGCTTCGCAGGCTAAGTAGTGTATGGAGACAAGTAATCTCCAAGTAGAGATGTAAGTATTGTTTTATTTAGCTTCAAGCTTATCCGCATCGCGCGCTCCAGAAAAGTGCCAGACAGAAGAGCAATAATAAAAATGAGGTAAAATATACGCTTTGTTAAGTTTAAGTAAGATTTCCCTGCGGATGAGTTTTCGAAAGAGCAACATGACATAAAATTGATTATTAATCTTTTTGCATACATTTGATATATGTTTAGAAAAATTCAGTTTGTTATCTATTCCCATTCCAAAAATGTGTAACGTGTCCTTTACTGGGAAGGAAAAACCATACTCCGTATCACCGAGGACCAGACGTTGGTGCTTGCTTTCATTAACTAACATCCCATTTTCAGGGTACCACTGATTGGCCACCCCAACATCATCAGATACGCATGCTTCTAGAGCTGCCGGATCGCTGTGGGAGTAGGACACTGTTGATCATCCGCACTGGAGCGTCAGCGCTGCAGCGTCAGCTCCTTGTCAAGAACTGATTCAGGGTTTTCATAATTGAGTTTGGTACTGGTTCAATAGGATCATTCTCGTAGACGGATGTCAGTAAATGTGGCCACATTATTGTGTAAATTATATAGGATTGCATTGATATTATTTTTCTTTGCCGTCAATTTGTTATGCCACGGGCATCCTTGAATTCTGACTCATCGATTGGCAATCTTTGATCTGATTTTCTGTTGAATGCAATGATATCATTTTCTTCAACATGCCAGCGCAGGTGTCTATGAAGAAAAAACACACTATACATTTCGTTATCGAAGTGGCCTTGAATTATCGAAGAGGAACTAAGCATTCCCGCGATCAAGATATTTCCAGAATTTCTGACGCTCACCCGTCAAACATTGTAGAGTGACATGAACGCTGAGCTGGCCCTCTTGACTGGCGTTTTCGTTTGTGTCCTGTTTAACTCCTTTCCTCAGCGAGATTTTTTTAATCCCACGATAATTGTAAATTTCACACAAACTTAAGGTTATGCGAGAAGAATTGCTTCCACGAGGAAAACAGTAAAGCCATAGGAAACCATTTTGAACAAGAAAGCGCAACGACGGTTCGAGAGAGAGACTGCAAATTGTTTAAATATAATAGAGAAAATATTGCAAGACCTCGCTCGAAAAATGATATTCAGTCGAGGAGGAATCGCTTGTGGGGTGGATCTTAATTAAATTCACTAATAAATTTTGTTGCTAAAAAGAGGGAAAAGGGCGAGAGCATTCAAAAAGATAATTCATCTCTGCTGTTCAGGTTATATTGACTGTTCGTTTGATGAAATTATTATGCAAGTTGTTGATTGGTTATTTTTTTAATATTTCTTTCATCAATAATTTTTCTTTTTTTTTTGGTATGCGTGTGTCACTTAAAAAGCTTGAGGACCTGGAAAGATGTTGCAATTTTTTAAAGTGGCAAGAATAAATCAAGTTTACAGCACTAGTTGTCAGAAACTGGAGATAACAAATGCATTATTATGTGGTCGTTTCTTTCTGAATTCACATTCAGAACAATTGTTCAGTTCAAGTAAACCAAGCAGAATTACGAATTTCAAGAGAAACCTGCCATATCCTTTTTCATATTATTCCCTGATCGTTATTGATTATCTCAGACAGAGCTTTCTGATAGAAATAAAACAGATGGCGTTGACAGAAAATTTTTAGTCAAATCCGAAACCGCGAAAGAAAGCCAACAGAAAAACGGGTCACTTTTGTGACATTAGAGAGATTTAGCACCACGTGAACGGCAAGAGTGACCACATGACCTTGTTTTTCCCGCCATTTTTTCACGTTTGCTGTATATATGGGGTAAACGCGGTGCTAATTTTGAATATGGATCAAATGGAGGATGCAAAGGGAGGTCTTCAATTGTGAATTAATACGAGATGTTAGAACATCCCGATACTGACATGGATTATCATTCTTCAACGGCAAAGTAAATTTAACTTGCTAAAGACGAACATAGCAAACACAGGCGCTAGCTGGGAGATAAAACTGGTCATGTTCCAATATTCTCTTCCCGTTAATACTCCCTTCCAGGCCTCTCCTTTGTTCGACTAAGAGTACTCTGTATTTCCGTATGAAGTTCACTTTTCGTGTATTTTTGGTAACGGAGTGTACTTTGCCTTAGACTATTGGTCATAAACTAATGAGATAAGAAACGGCTTACCGCTTGGATCAATTTATTTGCGAAGGGTATTATTTATTGACGCACTATGCAAGAGATTTCTTTCAGTTTAATGTAATTAACACCGTTAGAAGCGAATAGTCTCATGTCTGATCGATCGAATTAGATAGTTGTCTTTTATGGCAAAAATTCACGGCGCGAGAAAATATTTCACAAGTTGGATTTGTTTCCTCATTATGATTCTACCAAATAACGTTGTTTGAATTGTGTTTACAGCACCCCGTCTGAATAACATGAATAACGTGACCCCTCAGTTCGTTTTCGAGCTGTCAAGTAGTTTCAAAACAAATAATTCCTTTATATTTTGACGGATTTAAAAGAAGACAAAAGAGAATTAAAATGAACTTAATCCTTCTGGGAGATGTTTCTTTACTTGAAATGGATTTTTCTAGAAGAATATAAAGCAGTTTATCCTTTATTTACTAATATAGCGCTTTGGTAGCAGTAACTACAATAAGGTCAGGTTTGAATAGTAACGCTCTCAGGGGACTAATGAGCCAATTTATTATATTAAACTAATGATCAAAGCTGTAAGTCGTTACACCGCGAGGCAAACAACAGACGCATTCACATTGTTCATAACCAAACAGTACTCTGGGAGCAGTGTAAATCTGTATTTGACGAGTGAGCTATTCGCTTTCGTTCCTGGGGGTCATGTATGTGAGCCGCGCTCGGGAGACCCCTTCAGTGGTCTCCACAAGGGTCTTGAAGACACATCGCATGAACTCAGTGGAAATCTTTCGACTACAGGAGCGAGTGAAAACAATCGACTACGAGAGTCAACATAACTATTCGCAAATATCGGACGAAATCGATGGCGTTCGCCAAAACTTGGTTAAAATCAAAGGTGTCAAGAAAAATGTAGGTGTAAGCGTGGAAAGGAGGAAGTTTCTGCGGGATAAAGGACTCAGGATTTTGCCTTCCAAGGTTAAGGGTGACGCAGAATATTTTACGGTGCGTTCATCATGCGGAAAGGACATCAATATACCTTGTTCGGATTTTTATGACGGAGACGCTCTTAGGAAACAGCTTAGCATTGATAAGTTGAAATCTTTACCATCACCAAATCTTGACACAGAAAATTCGGACAATGAGAAGCTAACCGATCGCTCCTCCGCTGGAACTTGGGGACGGTCTCAAAGCTTGTGGAAAGATTTTCGTTACAGAAACATAACGCCTCCTTTAAGGTCAGGCTCTAGGAGAAACTTCAGGGATGTGGAAGAAGAAAATTGTAAAGATAAAGAGAAACTGCTTAGCCTTGACGAAATCGGTAATAAAGAGAGAAAGTATGGAATTTTAAGACCCCAAACTGCGCACCTGAAGAGAGACAAAGACATGGTTCTACTGCCAAGGAGTCGCACATGCCCTGGTAATATTCAAGAGAACAAAGGAAGTACTCCGCGTAGAAAAATATCGCGTAAAAGTTCTTCGGCAACCGGAAATGTTAAGAAGAAGTCCCAGGGCAGTGATTCTGTGACAAGCGAAAAGAAGACTGATGAAAAATCAGCGGAGCTACAATTGGAGAGTGGACTAGGAACAGAACCGAACTTTTTATCAGGAGAAAGCAGTGATAAGATTGTGTTGGAAGAGACAATTTCTCTTGATCTGAAGCCTTCGTTAAGGCCAAAAATACGTCCCAGGTCCATGAATGTTGCTTCTTTGACGGGAAAAAAAGGAATTTCTGGTACAGTTGCTGACCTGATACGAATGAGTTTGGAAAGTAGTGCAAGTACTGATCACCTTCCACCTACTCCATCCAATGGAAATAGGTTTCAATCCAAGTCGCCAGAAACAAGCCCTCGAGTTCCGAAGAACAGCGTTGCGACTGCTAATCATGATGTAAAGGAAGACAATTATGAACCGGATGGAGACCAACGAAGGTTATCTAAGCTTTCAGAAAGGAAAATTTCGTGGAAGGACTCTGTTCACGATGCTGGCGATAAAGGGGACGATAAAATAACCAGAGGTAAGCTAAGTGATGCTTCCTTGCCTTCTATAGCAGGGTTACGGAAGCCAAGAACGAACGGTGTACAAAGCACCGCTACACGCGCCCAAAGCGCCCCCCAAGGGCGTCCAGGCCTTTCCCGGCAACAAAATTCAACGTTGAAAAAAGTATCGAAGATAAACGGAAGGCGGAATAGCGCTGGAGATTTTGTCTACGACGCAAGGCCTGACAAAGCACTTAGTAAAGGCTATATGACAATGCAGATGACAATCGGTGGCAAGCAAGTCAGGGTGTACGTACCTAAGTTTTCAACCAGTGAATGCATCGATGACGTCACACCAACGGAGAGGTCTCGGGCGAAAGCAGCTCTACAGGCTGCAGGAGCGCCAGGAAAGAAATTGTCGGCTAAAAATAAATAGCTGATGTCTCAGACACTCCAGACAGTCAACCACTTAGAACCGTTACTTAATGCAAAAAATAGAATCGATCCGCTATATTAAAGTGGATGCCACAACATAAGTTTCAAAAAGAAGAAAATTTTCATGTAAGAGATAAAGTTTATATAAATATACATTCACTGCACAGAATATTACCAGAACAATATACCAATTTACGAAATAATAAGTGAATTCTATAATTGTCGGCTCTGTTAAAAGATTCTAGTCATGGCAATTGTTCCTCCTTCGCTGCGTTGTTGTTGTGTTTTTTCGCAAGTAGTTCCACCTTAATCCACGCCCACGCGGTGATTCCGAATAATTAACCTTGATCACGAAAGGGAGAAATAAGATAACTGTATAGTACTTGCCAACTGTATCGAAGTACAAAAAAAAAGAAACACATTTGTCACATCAGCTAAACAGAACAACGGCAGATATGGCCAGTAGTCGATAGGAACTCACAGAAAAAAATTTGTCAAACAAACTGCATGAAGCGCGGGAAAACTCAAGCGATCAAGTCGTGATTGGTTTTAGCGGCTCTGCATCCGATTGGCCGAGAGGGTGACACAAGTCCTTTACAGCAGCCAATCACGGAGCGCCTCATGACAGAACCAGTGCTCAGTACGAGACTGCTTGCTGAAGACCCTCGGTTGAAAAAAACTTTAACCGTTTATACCCTGGCATCAGTATGCATCAGTTTCCATTTCCTATGGTACTGACAAGCTGGAGAATTTGTTTGACTGAAACAAGAGCTTCTTTATTTCGCTATCATTTCTTTTATTCTTTTGACCTCAATGTTTGATTCAGGGGCGATAAGGAAGGAGAAATTACATGCTGGTCACCCCAAGGGGTTATAAGGTTAAAGCGGGAAGCCTCTATTTCTGGCGCTGCAGTTGTCAAAGTCCATAGTTGATCAAGGAAAACATGATATTACCGCACATGTTACGACATGCATGCGGTCTACGACATTTACGATTGATCTATTTTTAGTCTTTGTTAATAGTCTCCCTAATTGAGGGAAAAAAAATGCCAAAAAAATAAGAAGAATAAATTATAAAGGATCGAGAATGGTTAACGAATAATGGGTCATTATCAGTTTGCTCCTAGTAGAGGAGAATAACACGGATCGTTCATCTACTGAATTCCAGGATGTAGAAGCTGCCACGTGGGGCTTAAAGTTATCGAGTTATTTCACTGGCAGCGATATTAGTCATTCCGAACTGAGAAACGTTGGGTTTCTTCTTCTGCGTAAAATGTATCGCTCCCGAGTTCACGATTGCTATCAGTTTGTCGCCGGAAAAAATGTTGAAAGCCGGCTATGCGCTTCAATAATCCGTCGGCCGTTAAAGAAAAATCATCCATTGTCGAGTTTCGAAAGAAGTCGTAATAAATAATCGACTTTCCGTGCATGGTTAGCTTTCGTCACTATTCGACTCTATTACCCGATATTTGTTGGTAGTGGTATGACGTAAAAGGAACAGGTTACCTCAGTGTAAAAAAGGTTCACTTGTTAATAACTTGTGAACCTACGTAAATTAGAAAAGACAGTTCAATAAGCTTTCTCTATTTTAGCAATGAAGCGTTTCCGTAAGTGAAAGAGTCAAACTCAAATTAGCTGTGATCGTCTTGCATTTACGACAGGTTAGTCTGTCTTTCTCGAGACCCTTGACTGTTTTACTTCCGTGAGTCATTCATGGCCTGTATTTCACTGCAACCCGCGTCAACAAACAGGGAGTAAATTTCGTCGAAGTTTAGCTAAAAGCTATTGAATCATAAATCATTTTCCCCTCTTTGATTCAACTTAAATTTTGCATAGATGTTATCTGAATGTCTATTGTTCTTTCAATAGATTATCACTTTTCTACGGAGTGTTAACAACCTTTGTCCCCAAACCTGTGTTGATAATAACTTTAACTTTTCAGTTCTCTAGCTTCGTAATGAATCATAAACTTCGGTTAAACAAACGCTTTGCTCTTTATATTTATATGCCATTTGTTAAACAATGTTAAGCTCTTTTAAGATTTGACGTTCGACAGCTTTGCACTGCATGGGACTTTTGGCGGTCCTTGTATGTAAATGTAATATCTATTTCGCGTACATGCTAATTGCTGTCAATCTACGAGGCGTCAAAATTGATGCCTAAAATCTATTAGCTGTTAATAAAGGGTTCTTTAATCAAAAGCTATTTATATTGCATTGTATTTCAGATTAGTCTAAACAAAGACTCGTCTCTGGAGTATGTATTTCTGACAAATTATTTTCAGTTTGTTAAATTAAGGTTGAAAGCTTTCCGGTATAGTATCGCAAAAATCGGAAGTAAGTTTTCGAAAGTTGAGATCGGTCTCCGAAGTTGCGTGATCAGCCACATGCAAATGAAGGTGACGGTTCACTTACCATTATAGTATCTTGGATACAGATGAAGTGTTTTTCTGTTAAGGGAACTCTAAAGTAATCCTTTGTTTACCAAAAGCCGCCATACGGAGCCTTGATGACAAAATAATGTGAACTAATGTCTTCTCATGGTTCTGAGAAGTTAACAGCAACGTAGAATGGCTAGTTCAGTAAAGCAGCAAGGAACATCTGTTACGTGTGAAAGTCTTATAAAGACACGGCGTTTAAATGAAACTGAATCCTTCCTTTTAGAGGAAAGACTTAAAGTATTGGATTGTAAAAAAAAACAAAAGAATGCCGAGTACAGAGTGGAGAAATATTCGCTTCAGAAGCAGATTGAAGAAATACGAAATGTACGGAAAAAACCAGAAATAAGCACGGAAAGAAGAAAGCTCCTGCGTGCTCAAGGATACACTATCGACGGTCGCGCTGCTTCGGGAAGTTCGGAAGACAAGCCAGTTGCTTACAAGAGATTTTCGATGCCTGATTTGAACGGTAGAGATTCTCCTGGCCATAGACGCTCTAGAGGTTTGAGTTTGCATCACAGCGAACCTACTATGAAGACATTTTCTCAACTGACTCTTCAAGATGGAGGAGAAAAAGAAAAAGAAAGTACGGCTGTAAACAAAGAACAACAAAGCGATCCTGCTGGTATGGCGCCAGCCAGAGCGAGGCATCAGTTCCGTGTTATTGAACCTCCATGTCGACCTGGATCGCGACGAAACTTCATCCAGTTGTCAAACGAGAAACTAAAGAAATTGAAAGAGAAAGAAGACAAAAAATCGAAAGAGATTTTACTTGACCCAAGTCTAAAGTTAGATCATAGGGGTGTGATTGTTTCCCCTGGACTGGTAAAATCTTTGCGCGATACATCACTAGCAGAAACGATTAAAGGTCATGAACAAGCATTGCATAATTGGGAAGACAAAGAGATTGAAGGAAGGCGTCAGAGGGAAATGTCTTTTAACTCGGACACACAGGCTCATACTGAAATCTTTGAAGATGACAACGCAAAAGAATTAAATTTCACATGTCAAGTAGATGACAGGAAATTGATATCTAAGTCGTGCGAGAGCTTGGATAGTATAACGGAAGTTCGTGTTCCAGACAGCCCTTCAGATTGTCACGACAATAGCATATCAGAACCACGAAATGTGACTGCGCCCAGCGGCTTTGAGGCACGTCATGATCACATGGTAATCACGAATAGAGAGGTTGACAAAGTGTGTAAATATGCTAGCACCAGGCCTCCGGCGCGGTTGGCATTTGTTGAAACACCAGATGCACCTCCGGATGAAAATAAACGGAGTAGTTTTAATTCTGAGATTGAATTGCGACAACCGACAGTGCATGGCTTGCAGCACAGTCACAGTGTAAATAACACAGATATAGAGCCATCCCACAGCGCTATTGGAAGTTTTTCTGAATCTACGTTCACCGAAATGAAACAATCCTCCCACGTAAAATTGGTAGAGGGACAGAGAAAGAGAAGAGTAACTTTACCTCCAGGGAAATTCCACACCGTGTCAAGTCAAAATGATGTCGCTCTAAACCGAAATGCAAGCAAAAGAGAGTCTCGAAGACTAAGCGTAGCTTCGCCAGGCACGAACGTTCACAAGTCTACAGAGTCCGTATTTGCTTGGCAGTCCGAACGAAATACTCGAGGAGACACGGTGTCATACGCGTAGGATGCGCGGCCGAATCGGTCACTTTGCAAAGGATATGTTACAATGCAGATGACCGTTAAAGGGAAGCAAGTCAAAGTACACATTCCAAAATTTCCGAACGACTCCGAATCCGAGCCAACTCTAGATCATGCTCGGAAAAAAATATCGATTGCTCGGTTCCAACCAAGAACGCCGCACGAAAAGGCGAAAAAGTGAAATCAAACGAAGGAGGTACATTACCGGAGAGACGTGCAACGTAATGAAATTTATTCTGTTTGTTTTTCTTTTGTCAGATGTTGAAAAGTTTCTTTCAGCTTTAAGTATTTAAGTCTAGTTGAATAACTCATTAAATGGTGTTTGGAGAGAATGCCATAAAGTTTTTTTTTTTGTATATGTATTTAACAATTATTCGCCGAAGGTGAGGTGAATATCGTCGAATGATCCCCGAGACGAAGTCGGGGGGATTGTTCGACAATATTCACCGAACCTGAGGCGAATAATTGTTTTAGTATAATTTCAGAGCTGAACAACAGAGAAATTTCTAAAATTATAACATTTTAGTAACATTTTATTTTAACATTTTATATAAACCGCGTAGAGCGGGTTTATATAGCGTCATATAAGGAACCGCTCGACCAATCAGATCGCTGGAAACTCTTTGCTCAGCTCTGAAATTATACTAAATCTATATATA